ATCATAAACCACATTGAATGAGACTGACGTTTAGAAGTTCCATAGCTAACAAAATGTTAATAGTGAGGTTACGCTAGTCAATTCAAAGAATTTTAAATACAGGAAGACCATAACGTATACTTTTTATGGTTCCCATAGGTATACTGAGATGGAAAGATAAATTATCTAGATTTACCATCACCTTTCTCATCTTGCGATTGAAGTCGTCCTGTTGAGCAAGTTACACTGGCAAATGTTGTGTAATTTTTTCCCTTGCTCGTATACAATTTTTAGTGTGATTTTGCAAAGGTGTATTTAAACGGATCGATTAACGGCTTTGCAGTTTAGTTCAAACAGCCATTATCAATCAATCACTTTCAGAAGTTTATTGGGTCAGTGAATTTCTGTCGAAATATTCCAGTGTCAGAGTCCTTCAAATAGTAAAAGGAATAGCTATTTGGATCTACATGTAAGATAGAAATGGGTTTAACCACTTTCCTAAATTTGGACAAACTCAGAACCAATAAGATAATTGCTGTCTTAATTATAAAATGACCTAGTTTTATTAATGTATATATAACCTTCCCCCTTCGTATTGGGATAACTTAGATTTATGTTAAATGTAAAAATTGTGATTGAATAATCTCAGGGATTCAAACTAAAATAATCCTATAAATTTGTCAGAGATAGCAATACGAACTGTCTTATTAAGGAATATGATCGAAATCATCATTACCAAAGAAAATATGAGGTTCAAAAGAAAAAAGATCTTACTAAAACATTGTCCAATCACGTTCGTTTTGTTTATAGTAAGGTCATGAAATGATTTGATGTGAAAAATTGTCCACCATATAAAATAGGGATGTATGTGCATGTATCCATATGTTACTATTGTTACTAGAAAACATTGAGTAGGTGATATCTTTGTCTACGTTCAAGGACAATTGATTTATTATAAATCTGAAAGCACATACAAATAAAATCAATCATTGGAATTAATCACAGAATCAGATCATTAGTACAGTTAATTGTAATGGTAGAATTAAATTACATTACTATTAGTCATGAATGAATCAAAAACATAGAAGATTAAATAAGTGTCGATCGTTATCAGTATCAATCTTCAGGTAGCACACGTTAAGGACCCTGTTTTTATTTTTCGTAATCCACAATTACCATGGACCTCATTTCTACAATTGAAGAACATATGGAACTCAAAACAACTGTCAACTAATTTCAAGGTGTAAGTTTTCAATAGGAACGTCAAGACAGTCCTACTGTAAGGAAGTGAGACGTGGAGAATTACTTAATCCATCGTCAAGAAGGTACAAGTATTTCTAAACGGTTGTTTACGCAAAATACTTAATATTCAGTGGCCGGATACTATTAGGAACAGTGTTTTATGGGAGAGGAGAAACCAGCTTCCAGATGAAGAGGAAGTTAGGAAAAGACATTGGAAGTGGATCGGACATACATTGCGGAAATCACCAAACTGCATGACGAGGCAAGCGCTAACTTGGAATCGTGAAGGGAAGCGGAAAAGAGGAAGGCCAAAGAACACATTACACCGGGAGATTGAGGCAAATATGAATAGGAGGAATGTTGACTGTAAAGAGCTGGAAAGGATCGCCCAGGACAGGGTTGAATGGAGAAAACTGGTGGGTGGCCTATGCTTCTCCACGAGGGTTAACAGGCGTAAGTAAGTAATAATTACCATAATATAGCTACTGTGTTCCGTATATTAGTCTTTGTTTATGAACAACAGATGAAATATCAGCACTATTTACATTTCAATCGATGAAATTACATCAACTACATAATTTTTACATTCAATATGTTCTATCATCAATTCGATTGTCGATTTCCATTAAATTATTCGTTCAGATTTTCATGAATCATTCATTTAAATTCAATTTATTATCATATTCAAATAGTTAGGTTAGTAATATTCCTATTTGTTTGTATTATTATTATTATTGTTATTATTAATCTTGGTAACATATGAGGAATTAATTTGGCACTCAGCCAAATTTACCATTACTTTTTTATTCTTTACATAATTCATACCATTTTCAACATGATGTGATCTTTGAAAAACATGTGATTCAATTTGTAGTGAAATTATTATTTCTATCATACTATATTATGTTTTCTTATAAATAATTAATAATTATGACAAATGTGTTTGGTGTATTGACTACATCTTTGTTTAGTCACGTTGAATGGTGTTCACGTGCAGTGAAGTGTAAATTCTCAGAACTTCGATCAAAATAACTGGTTGCACAATAGTAGTTGAATTAATCAAAAGTAAACGAGATAACCATTCTAAGTTATTGAACTTTTAACATGAACGTTATGATTGTTGATGTGGAGTACACTAGTCGTAATTTTTCGTTGTTAAATATTCTTCGGATAGTTTGATACAATCTCCGAATTAGTATTTCACTGTGTATATCAACTCGGAATATTAGGCACATGAACAGGGACTTCCTACTGACTGTTTGTATTTCGTCTGTTCTAACCTTCGTGGTCATATTTTTGTTTGTAAACTTCGCAGGGCATCCATTTTTGCCGAGAGGTATTACGCATGGCGTTTGTTTCCTCCTCAAGTACATTCTTATTCAATTACTGAAAGTTTTTATGGGGTTTCCTTTGTACTGAAAGCGTACAAAGCAAAGAGAATGTGTTGATTATCATGTCCAGGTATTTCTTCCGTTTAAATTCTCCCTTATTGACCCATTGACATCGAAAAACGTTTTTCTACTCTCAATTTATTTTTCAGGTGTAAACTTAATGGTTATATATACTTCATTGTAAATTGCTTAAGAACCTCTAGCTATTATGTGCTTTGTTTACAGATGATCAACATATCGTTCATATATCGACTGCGAAATGTGAATTTCCGAATAAACGGTTGAAATAGACTATAGTCTAGTTTAGCTAGAAAAATGCCATGTTGTATTATACTTAATAATGAAACCTCTGCAACTCTTTTCACTGGTCCATTGATTTAGGATTCAAATCTGATATTCAAATTCATAGCGCTTTGATTACTATTTGGAAGTAGATCTCCGCTAGAGATTAGATTCATGTTGCGCGATTCACTCAATCTGTGACTTGCCATTTGGATTTATGTACATTCAACTGTTTGTGCTTACATCGAGAGTCAAAACTGGCACAGTTCATAGCATACAATGACAGGTAACCCACGAAGCTTCTGAAACGGAATAGCCATTAACTTATTCTTCTAATAATGATATAAAATACCTGATCAATTTAATAATTCATAATCACACATCTCCCAAATTTATAGCTTTAATTGACAATTATTAGCCAATAGTTTCCAACATCTTAATCAGTTACAAGATAGTGAATTCGTTTATTGAGAGAGTAACCTCTTAGGTGTTTTAAGAAATATCCCATCATATATATAATTCACAATTCCACCTGTAGCCCTTTTAGGGTTACTGATTGTCCCAACCCAAAATGAAGGAGAAGGGTTGTATATAGGGTCAGCAACCGAATCCCATAGATAACAACCTTGCTAAAAAAGCTTTAATCAGGATAAACATTCTAACCCATTTAAACTCTGCCCTCCGATTTGAAGGATCTTCATTCAGAAGAATTATGACGCCTCAGGGTGAAAGCCGTGATTCTTCGAATATCACGATGCATTACACTTCAAAGTTGTGAATGGAGGACAGCTGACAGATGTATTTCAAGTGAAGACCGGAATCAGACAAGGCTGCTAGCTCTAACCCTTTCTCACCTGGTGATTGACTGATATGCGAAGACCTCCACATCTCAGGAGAGGCATGGAATACAATCAACAGATTGAATGCCACTAGAAGATTTGGACTTTACAAATCCCCTAGCTCTTCTGTCTCATGCACATAAACAAACGCAGTCCAAGACAACCAGTGTAGCAGAAGTCTCCACAGAAGTAGGCCTCAACATATACATCGGGGAATTTAAGATTCTCAAATACAACCTGAATAGCAGTAACCTAATCACACTTGATAGGAAAACTCTGGATGAGGTAGAAAGTTTTACGTATCTGGGTAGAATCATCGATGAACACGAAGGATCTGATGCAGACATAAAGGCAGTGATAGGCAAAACAAGGGCCGCATTCCTACAATTTAAGAACATATCAAACTCAAAACAACTGTCAACCAATATCAAAATCAGAATCTTCAATACGAACGTCAAGTCAATCCTACTGTGCGGAGCTGAAACTTGGAGAACTACCACAACCATTATCAAACAAGTGCAGGTATTTCTAAACATTTGTCTACGCAAGATATTGAATGTCCTTTGACCGGATACCATGAGCAACAGCCTACTGTGGGAGAGAACAAATCAGCTTCCAGATGAAGAGGAAATTAGAAAAAGACTCTGGAGATGGATAGGACATTCACTGAAGTAATCATCAAACCACCAAGCTAATAATAATAATAATAATAATAATAATAATAATAATAATAATAATAGCAATATCAATAATAACAATAATAATAATAATGAATGGGATTACGAAGTAAGCCGTAAATTGTTGTCTTTAAGATAAAGGGAAAAGAGCCAGACCAGAGAATCCACTAAGTCGGGAATCGGAGTCAGAAGACAAAAGCTTGAACAGTACTTGGAAACAATCGAAAAGGAGAGCTCAGGATAATGTAGGTTGGAGAATCCTGGTCAGAGGCCCATACTCGACGAGGAATAACAGGCGTAAGTGTGTGAAGTGTTAATATACACCTTCAAGTGAGCTTTTGTTTCCTCTGGAGATAAAAATTCATGTAACATTCAAACTAAGAGATAAAAGAAAATGTAAGTAATGATATAATCAAATGTATTCATTCTTTTTTTCAAAAAAAACACATTTTGGACGCTCATGTACAGTGATTATCTACCTTATAATCAAACTAAGAATTAGTTTTCAGCTACTTTATTGATTTAAAATTCATTACAATAACGTTCTTATTCGTTGAATATTGAGATTCTTTTTTAGCTATTAAAGATGTTTATTCTGCTCTGTCTTCTGATAAACGCATATCCAAACGCTTGTTTAAACGCTTAACATCTAAAAAGATGAGAAAAGATGAAATGAATATGTTGAATGTTTTCTTAAGAAAACATACAGATGCTTACAACAGCGGCTAATTTTTCACCTAACTTATCTTCTTCAAGATATTTTTGAATTTTCTCTCGACACTTGAATTGAAATCTCCTCCAAAGTTCTGTGATTGACTTCCATAACTTCACACTTTCAGTAAACTATAAATATGATCATTAATGATGATTAAAGAATTAATTAAAGATTAATCATTTTACAATTAACTTACTAGTTCCTTTTGACTAGCTTGGGATCTGAAAAAAAGAAAGAGGAAAGAAATTCAGAAGCATTTGACTTAAGAGGCAATGAACAATTTTTGTATACGAAATTCACTTAGATTGAAAATTATCAAATTTAGGATAGTTATCACATTTTATTTGAAAATCTGTAATGGAATAGATGAGTCATGATTTCCATTGACCATAGTGATCATTTTTATTTCCATGCTAATTCTAATCTGTTATGTACTATGAAAATAGTTGTGTGCATAGTTATAGGCTTTGACCTGATCAGTAGTTTTTTTATGCTACCATAACTGATGAGATAATTGATGTTGAATAAACTCTACCTACTCACCAAATGAATTCTGTAAATAACTTATATGCCCTATATTCTGTTTCAGTGTCTAGATCTTTCCGTCTGTGCTGAATATTTGATCATCTGTCTTCATGTTTTAATATCATTTTGTTTAAACTCTGCATTTTTTATAACTATATTTGATTTACCATTTGATCTGTTGCTCCAAATAATTAAAAAACAAATTAGATGGTACTGAAGTCTAATCTAACACTATGAAGAGCTATCACTAAACTTCATTTTGACTATTCATCAATCTATATGTTGATTCTTCTTGATATTCATTTGACTGCTGTTGTAGATTTCACAAATCTCCTAACTGGGGATGCAATAGTGGAATACCATTAATTTATTATTATTATATTTCAATAGTGTTTAGTCTTTTATATTATTATAAGAACTAAGACTATTGATTAATATTGATAATGAGTTTATAGATGAGACTAATTACCGGTTAAATGCTTTGTGATTATTATTATTATTATTTATCCAACTAATATCCATTTACCGTAAAATGAAAGTATCTTGGAAGTTATCACTGGTCAAATAAATTAACCTGAAAAATTGAATATATAACTAACATTAGATAATTTTCCATTGGATCCAACATAGCTAAGGTTTATACTAAATAATAATAGTAAAACAAATAAGGGGATCGGACGAGAACCGGTGCTTTCAACGTGGTATGGTTGCCGACTCACTGGTCTATCGGTTAAGTGCTCTGGCGCGAGACTTGTAGGTCGTGGGTTCGAATCTCGCAAGCCGGGATCGTGGATGCGCAATTAGGGGATATTTAGTTTAGTTTGATGTATATACACTCCATCTTCAATCTTCGTTAGAAATGACTAGTTTATTAGTCATATCTATGTAATGTAATGTTTGATGAAATACTAAGTTAATCTCTTGTTTGCCTTTTTTTGTTAGTCGAGGTAACAATTATCATAATGAAGGTGCTAGATTTAATCCACTTTATTCTTTGTATAAACCGTAGGTATCCTAGTAATAATGTTTATTTTCAGCGATATGAATAACACAAAAATCCCTTTTGATAATTAAATCATATTATTTGGTGGATACCAAATTTCTTGTTTATTAATGGGTTACTTCACAGATTATTTTTCCTAATGTAGTTATCTTCTAATGTTGGCAAGTTACGGTAAACCACAAAAAGATCTCATTTTTAACTGACTAATATCGATGAAAGAACCACTGAAAATCAGTGAGTACGATTGAGACCACTTACAACCTTTTCGAATGTTTGATGAGTACGTTTTACCCAACAGTTCCAGTCATTTTGCACTTCATTTATTAGATATGTGCTGAATATTAAAGTGCAACTTCCATTAAAAATTCCACTTCAAGCCATGAGTTTCTCCATATTTGTGCTTTTTATCTTGAATCGCGCGATAATGTCTTGTTCCTTACAGACGGCTGTAGATAGCTCTAGATGCTTGAAATTAAATCTTTGGTGGAAATTACAGTCCAATATTTAGCACTCACTTCTCAAATAAGCGAAAAAATAACTGAAGTATATGAATAAAAAACACTTGTTGAACACTGAGAACATTGAGAATAGCCTCAACTGTCAGCACTTTTTTATATATTTAACAATGTAGAAGAGTTAGCACTCAAAATATCTTGAGTACTGGATTGTGAAGTTAATGGATATATACCTAATGAATCAACTCCAATTAGTGAAACCGTCTACTATTTTAATTGGTTACCACCTACTCCCACTTCTTGATATGTTATGTTTATAACTAATGTTTTACATTTTTGCTATGAAAATTAACATAATATCTCTAAATTGTCGAAACGATCTTCAGATTAATCATTAACGTATACAAAATAACAAATTTAAAACATTGTCTATTGAAATTTACTTAGTATTGTTTGTTTGGATCTTCTCAATGATGTTTTTAGGACTGCAACTGGTCAGTCTCTAATTGGCATATGTGCATACTGTGCGTATTGCCTTGATATAGCATAAATTCACAAGCATTGTAAGCAAAGATGGATAGTAGCTAGCAGTGGAATCCAGGACGCGCGTTTCGTCCTATTTGAGACTCGTCAGCTTGATGTACCTGCATCTCAGAGTTAATGTTCACTCTGGGAGTCAAAACGAAGGGTACTGGGTTCGAGTCTCAGACTGATCATCAACTCTGAGATGCAGGTACATCCAGCTGAGGAGTCCCAAATAGAACGAAACGTGCGTCCTGGAATCCACTGTTAGCCACTATCCATCTTTGCTTATTGTCTATCAAGTTAACATTTTAATAAATGAGCTGTTCATACAGTATACTATTACAGCTTACAATTTTGTAGTGCTTCCTGTAAAGATAAGGCAATCAGATCACAAGTAGAGAGAGATATTTATTTATCCATCTTCAGTTATACTGTTTTAATAAGTCTACAAGAACATAATATGGTTTTTGAGGGTAAATATTTCACAGTAAACTTTGTTGTTAATATAGTGGATAATTCATGCTTTTTCCCAACTCTCATTTAGAGCCAGAAATGAAATAAAGGATTTCATTGAATAAACCTTCATCCTTTAAATTGCAGTTCAAAAGCAATATAATCAATGAAATAGTGATATGATGTATACAAAATAATCTTAGAACAATTATTCAGTTCAGTAAGTTATATCTTTCTTTCTGTAGCCAATCAGTAGTGAGTTTACGTAAGCAAGGTTGAATTGTTCAGCTACCTTTATTTTTCTTTACCAGTTTAACCGCTACCACAGAACCAGTTACATTTGGCGTACAAGCCAAATGTTCGGCTGTATTTCTGAAAATCGTCACTCATAGTTAACTGATGAACAAAAGGAAATAATTAAAAACCTCTATGTTGTTCCTATTTACTTAATACTAGTCACCATATCTACATAAATCTGGCTTCCGCAGTAATTTATAAAATTATCTCGAACTGACCTACACTAACAATTCATCTCTTACACCACAAGTCATAGGAATACATATCAATAAGCCTAATCATTGTATACAACCCCTTAACTTACCATGGCGTTTTACTTAATTATGCTCACTCTTCCTAAAAAAAATTTCATCTACATTCAGTTTTACTTCCTAATTTTAGTCTTAGTTACGTAACGTCTTAATATTATGATTATTATAATTTCTATGCCCTCATATGATAAACTAATTATTACTGATGTTGTATATCACACAAAACATCTATAGCCTATAGCTTAATTTCAAGATTACTCAACTTACATTCTTATTCTTACGTAACTAGTATAATAAACAGTCGATTATGTAATCTTATTCTAGTTTTGAGATCAACTACATTGTGCATTAAATAAATTTAGATGATTATTTATTTACTTATTTGAACACTTAAATATTGGTACGAAGGGGCACCAGATATATATGCGCCACACATATCAAATGGGATTTGTGTGAGGGCTGTGATACTGCCCAGACTGAAGCAGGTGGTTTTCTTAAGGGGTCACACCCGGAGCCTTTGACCTAAAGGTCTAGTTTACAAGGCAGTGAAGCATGGTGAGGAGATTCAGTCCCATAGTAGCCGATGACCAATGGTTTATTTATACGCTATTTGTTCCCTCAGGATCCTGGAGCCCATGTGCACCATTGGTTTGGAATCAGTGTTTTCCAACTCCCCTATGTGGATTTTCCGTGTCCACTAACCCGGTTAAAGCGCCGGACATTCGCTTTTCGTCCTCTCAACTTCGTAAACAACACCCCCGCCACGAGAAGGCAGTGAGTGGGACTTCCCCGGCAGAGGCTACATACGCGTGGTCATTTGAGAGCATTTCGAGAGAGGGAGCAAACTCTCCCCGTACCGGGGCGTTTGGGAGTTAATCAGGGTGCGCTATAAGGAGACCACCAAATTGGAGGTAGTCAGTAATCAGATTATCATCTGATTAGATACTGTAATTAGTTATGAACGAAATTTAATGTCCTTTTTTTCATTGGAAATAGACAGAATATCACAGAAACAGAAATCAGTAACTTACTCAGCAGTTACATTTAACAGTAACAAAATAATTAGTGCAGATATTATGATGAGTTTCATTATTGAAATGTGAATAAAGCTTAATGTTTATATGTATTCTTATATATATATATATATACATCATACCTTTGTATGTGTAAACATTCCATAACACGAATTAGTTTTAAATTATGATGAAACAAGTACAAACTTTGTTTACATTTAGGCTACGATTGATGTTATTACTTCAGTATTGGTGATATTTAAATGAAAATAAGTGAACGTGTGAACATCATATTCGGATGTTTCCCGCAACATGAAAAAAATTTCAAGATCAGTCATAATAACAAGGATGTCTTTTTCAAAAACCTGGTTACATTGTCTAGTTTACATTATCAACAAATCATACGGATAAAACCTTTAGTGTAAATAAACATATCGACTCATTATTAAATACAATGGGTGAAATAGTTTGGAAACCAAATAATTAATCTTAAAGTCAGGTCAAATTAGAGACGAGAACTCCAATTCTTTAGGATAGGCACATCAATTTATGAATATTGCAGCACAATAAGTCAATACACAGGATAATTTTTTAAGATGGTCTGTAGCTTTGTCGCAAACATTAGCTCCTTGTTTCCACGCAACATATATACATACTCTGCATAGCTGAGTATAAATCTTACACCATTAAGCACTTATGGAATTAATCAAGAAACCGTTCATCGACAATCCATAACCCAACTTCTACATCGACTTCAAGACGATATGTCACAATGGGGGACATGGTCTCGAACTACACATTTCACTTACAAATGCACATCCATCCAAGTTCAGTATAACAGCTGTCCAAAAATTAGAACCCTTAGTGAGGTACCCTACAAGACCAAAGACAGGTCAAGTTCGCATTTGCGGGTCTAAAATACTGTATTTCGGAGTACCGGCTCATAACATCTCAAGTATTTTCCACACATGCCGCAGAACGATTAGGCACACAGGCAGAACTACTGTAAACGAAACAGTGGCAGCCGCTTCAAATTAATTTCAACATTAGAATTCCGGGAGTAAATTTCCTAGAGTCATCGCTATGGCCGTTTAACCCCTGACACTCGCACCGATAAATAACACTCAGGTACACAATGACCTGACGCCGAGCTTCGACATACCTTCACTATTCCAGAACAAGTGCAACGCCGCATGACGTGATTACGGTTGCCTATTCGGTCACAACTACTGACAGCAAGCAGTTCCAATGACGTTGTCACTAAACATTACAACAACTGGTTATCGCAATAATACCCAGATGCATGCACCACTAACAATGCGAACGCAAAAGCATCGTACGAGCACCCGTACAAGTAGCGATACACTAACATGAATACCAAACACTAAATATAGTAACAACACTCATCGCCGAAAGCCCAAACCACATAAGTTACCCATACAGTTACAAAACAAAGATAAATCACATTGTGGTGGTCCTAAAAAGGACCTTGATACGTTCTCGTGTGGACCAGTTGCAGGTCACCAGCTGCTCACATGCTAGTGAATTAACCACCGAAACCGTACAAAGTACGACCTTGGCGTTTCAAAGCGTACACAACGTCCATAGCTGTCACTGTCTTCCTCTTGGCATGTTCCGTGTAGGTGACTGCATCACGGATCACGTTCTCCAGAAACACCTTCAGTACACCACGAGTCTCCTCGTAGATCAATCCTGAAATGCGCTTCACACCACCACGACGAGCCAGACGACGGATTGCAGGCTTGGTGATACCCTGGATGTTGTCACGTAAGACCTTGCGATGTCTCTTAGCTCCTCCTTTACCCAATCCCTTGCCACCTTTACCACGACCAGACATGATCCACAAAGATAGATAAGCTGACTTGCAGACCGACACGAGACGACCCTGATTTTGCCACATAACTCTCCTTAGTTCACTTAAATCCTTAGAAAAAGAAGCCATTATTCAACCAATCACATTTCTCTTCTTGACAAGTTAGGTCACCGATTTTTTTCAATAACATAAGGCATTAGCGTTAGGTCAGATGGATGCAGGTCGTTTATCAACCAATGAGAAGTTGCCAAGTTATTAGTAGTGTTTTCACGTAATATGCCGTTCTCACCCTATGGGAAATAATTTCTCCCTTATGTTTTGTGGTTCAATGCTAATTGATGACATTGTTCGTAGCTTCCAAAAAGTGCTACGTAGACTTTAGATTGGAAATAAATTTTGTATATAAAAATTCAGATTTCCGCACTAAATTCGCACTCATAACATGTATCTGGTTGAACTGTGTTTCATTTTTCGATCCTGGGATTGTCTTCATCTGAGGCTTATATTATTACTGACTTATGTCTGTTGATTACCTTATTGTATTTAATTGCTTTTGTGTGCACCTTTTTGGTAGTTGACTCACTTTTCTCCTTCTTACCTCCTGCTATCCTCATTATCCAATCCCTCGTAGTGCTCGAAGTACCTTCTGGCGGAGCGCAAACCGCTAAAATCGTAGTTGGTGTATATTCCTGATGAAAACCTTGAAAATTAATACGGTCTTTATGGATGAACTCGTGTAGTAGTTCACTATTCATTAAAAAACTATTGAGTGTAACTATCATCCTATGGTTGTATCGTAAATCGTTTAGATCCATGGGACCTTAACTTGTTGACTACAAAGTGATCTAAGTTCTTGATATATATATTTCACTTCAGTCTCACGTTGTAATTGTACTTTCTTATAATCTCAGTTCATCTTATTACTATGGTTGACTAAAGAGTAGCACCAGGTTCCCTACATATGTTACCTCTACTGAGAATTTTGCACGTAAACATTTGAGAACACGTGACCTAAGTTTGTACACTATAATTTATGGGAAACCGGTGCTATTTGTAAGTAGTATCTGCTTTTTTAGTGCTTGTAGTAGGGAGATTTGACTCAGGTAGCTATAAACTGATATCTATCATGAAGTCATCTGTCAAAGCTAAACGTGGGACGGCGAACATAATAGAATCAAATTGACGACTGTTCATTCTCCTATCCGAAGTAACACCTTTAAATGTGTATTAGAATCTCCTTATTGTACGAATTATTCATTTATTATAATAAGCATTTCCGTTGATATTACTCCAGTCTTCTGATTGTAGTCGTAAATAATAAAAATTTCAGGTATGAATGTGTTTAGGAAAAAGGACCACTCGTATTACGTTTATTAATCTGACGATTCCAGTTTTTCCGATGAAACGAAGTTTCGAAAACAGTATTAAACGATAAGTGCGTTATAAGAAGAAGCTAATTCTCCTCTGTAGCAATTAGTTAACAATTAAGCTTTGGTAATAACAAAATTGTTAGGAAACGGGATTTCTTTCCAGATCCTTAATGTTAACTAATGAGGTAATCTGGAGATATTGCTAGTAAAAAACCCAGGACCAGTAGATATTTTTGAATTTCATATTGGAAAATCAGAGCATTTTTCCTAATTAAGAGAGAATTTTAGGTGCAATCTGGCAAAAAGTCTAAGTTTAATAATACTTTGGGAGTTCCTATCAGTGATTCACGGCATTTCCTCAAATTGCATGAAAATGCTGTGTCAAATTACTAATCGTTTTGTGAAGACCTCCATCCTTGAGGAATTTTAGGTCAATTCCGGGGAAATATCCCAAGCCTGAAATAATACCAGGTGGATTTAGTGAAAAATTCCACACCTGGTTTGATTTTCGCTTGCACTTTCTAGAAGTTCTCAATGGGAATCTCTAAAAATGGGTTAGTTTTGTCCCAAAGTTTGGAGCTTATGTTGTTTCACAAATAGCTTCATTCCTATCATAGTGTATTAGCTTTTTACTAAAATTCCCAAAAGCGAAAGTACCTAGTGGTTTCTGGAAATCTTGCACCAGTGGGTCTTGATTCCCAACATTTACAACATGGAAACCATATTTTGCAACATATTCAGTTCCAAACTTTTGTAAATGATATCTTCATATCTGTTTTGTATTGCATTTTTCTTTACCAGAAGAAAAACGTGTATGTCCCTCCTGTTGTCAATTTTTTAAAGGATGATGTCTCCAGCTACTTAATTGAATACTGGTCGATGAGCTGGGATCCTGCTCCTTATATTGTCACCAGCTTATTTATATACCATCTGTTCGTTATCAACAGTGAACATTTATCTTCACCACTTCTGAGGTAAATGTCATCACAATTGCATAGTGACTAAAAACTTAGAAAAAACTAGCGTGGTTTAGTGTACTCCATAACCCCACTGAAATTAAAGTGTAGGTCTGTTCGTCCCGATCTGTAGCGTATCCAGTAAGGACACGTTAGTCTTTCCTCACCTCAGTACATCACTGTCCTGTCGAGGTCTATCATAATACTTCATATTGTTCTGTGTTGCTTTGGTTATGAAGCCGCTAGTACTATATAGTCTGGAACCACCTTTATAACGATAGGATCTCTACAATTCTCCAGCTTTTATGGGTTTTTGTGTATAGGTCAACGCACATAGATTGAATTTTCTAACAGAACTAATATATTTTGATTCTGTTTATGTACTCATATCGAAGAGAATCTTAAGATATCGATATACTTATCCCATTTATGGTCAGCTAGCTGGTTCAACCCTCTAATGTTCGCCTTTTTGAGACTCGATGTGGAAACGCTTATCCCTGATACTAAATAGCTTAAATATTAAGTTGAATTCACCATCACCAATGGATTATTAGAAAAAATTAAATGTTGTGGATACTATTTATAGGGGTAGCTGTCAGTGACGGAAGCCCTAAACGCTTTCTACTGCTGTGAAATTTATGTGTAGCATCCAACTTTTTTCCAGGGTAGATTTACACTCCTGGATGATCCGACTAGCTTAGGAACAAAACCAACTTGCCAGCATTCACCCTTCAAGTGTAATGCCAGTGTCTACTAAACTGCTCATTTTCACCTAAGATGGAAGATAATTCAGTTAGTTGTATATCCTCAAAGCCATCAGAATTGGGTGGGAACATTTAGTAACGACCACTGGATGATATTTTCCCAAGTACACATTATCCCTAGTCTTTTATGTTAGTAACAGTAGCTGCAACCTC